GGACACCATTTTCGACGCCCAGGTAGACGAGGCGAAGTACGACACCGAGGCCGGGCGCTGGCAATTTAGGACGACCAAGGGGCTACGTGCGACGTCCAAGTATGCGATATTCGCATGCGGCTCGATGAACAAGCCGTACACGCCACTTTTCCCAAACCAAGACCTGTTCGATGGGCTTATTATACACCCGTCCGCTTGGCCCGACAATCTCTCGCTGACGGGCAAGAAGATTGGCATCGTCGGTCAAGGCGCGTCCGGTCTGCAAATCGTGCAGGAGCTTGCACCACTCGACTGCGAGCTGACGGTTTTTGTCCGCAACCCTTGTATCGCGGTCCCGATGCATCAGAGACAGCTGTCGTACCGAGAGTCAGAGGAGATGAAACACTATTACGATGCCATATTCGCAAAGGCCAAGTTCGGCTCGTCTTCGGCCCTCCCGTACAATCAGAATTCTGACTCGCTACTCCGCGCGACCGAGACCGAACGAAACGACCTGTTCGAGCGATTGTGGAACAGAGGTGGCCTCGGCCTCACGCAGTCAAACTATCGCGATATTGTCCTTGACGAGAAGGCCAACGCATGCTTGTACGATTTCTGGGTTCGAAAAACGCGAAGCCGGATGACGGACCCCGACAAAATGGACATCGTCGCGCCTTTGCAGCAGTTTGAATGGTTCGGATCAACACGCGTCAATCTCGAGACGAACTACTACGAGGCGCTGGATCAACCGAATGTCAAAGTGGTGAACCTCAAGGAGACGCCGATCCAGTCCTTTGACAGGCATGGGATTCTCGCCGGTAGCTCTGATGTTGCTACACACCACGACTTGGACGTTGTCATCATGGCCACCGGCTACGACGGCGTGACAGGTAGCCTGCTGAACATGAACATCCGTGACAAGAACAGCGTTCGGCTCAAAGATGTTTGGAGAAGCGGTATCAGCACGTACCTTGGCATGATGATCCCCAATATGCCCAATGCATTCGTGCTGTATGGGCCGCAAGGGCCGACGACGCAGACCAACGCGCCGCCTTTTATTGAGCTCCAGGTTGACTGGGTGATGAGGCTCCTAGAGAGGATGCGTCGGGATAAGCTA